CATGCGACCTGGATACTATTCTCTGAAAACATTCTAGACTTTCTCAAGAACAATTTTCCAGTTTTATTTTTATAAAGCAGGGTTTTTTTGTTGTGTTTTGTCTTTGCAAGTGTGTATCTGTACTTTTATGGACAGCAATCTGAATTGAGGGTAGGAAGTGCGCCTTTCCTTATACCCTCAATCTTAGCACAGTCCCTCATGTGTTTATTTTTTTCCTCATGTGTTTATTGAATAAGCAAAATGTTCACACAGAAATAATTTTACTATCTTTGAAATAATCACTGTATTGATTTTAAAATCTCTTTCTACTAACTCTATTAGTTACATTTTTATTTTTAGATCTTTTCTAATTATGCTTTCTTAGGGTTTTGCTATATTTGCTATTTTCTCCCCCTGTGACATATTTCAATTTATGTTGCTATGTCTTTTGCATTTGTGGTCCTAAGTTCATAAATAAAACACTCTACTTTTATAATTAAGTCAACTCAAAGGGAACACTATCTATGAGCCACCCTTACTAAGAATTTTTCTTTCTAGTAGAAATAAGTTTAAATTCTGAGTTTCAAGCTTTTTAAAAAAAGGTAGACATCTCTGAGTAATTTTAATAACAAATTTGCACTTTTTATGAGACAACATAGCCATACTATTTCTGATAATATTGTTTATAATAGTAAAAATAACTAAAAGTAAGAAATAAAACTGTAGCCTTAATATTTAATGAGTTTTGATATAGTAGATTAAAAGAATGAACTTGAGCTCAATATGCTCTATGTAGAGAAATCTTGAGTCATACTGTTTTAAAAGGAATTACAGCTGTAAACATAGTATTATTTACTTTCTGTGCATAATACCAGGCATACACATACAAATGCTAGCATTTCCTGGGGAATGATGGGAAACAATGATAGTTTTTTGGAGGCAAGGGAGTTTCTCTACGTGGGGCAAAGATGGTCAGTTGATGAAGGTGTAGCACACAGGGGTTCAATCTTAATGCCAAGAGTGAAATGAGGGGCCATTTTACTTATACTTCTCTGCACTAAGATGATGCATAAAATTTATACTGAAACTGAATTCACAAATGATTTCCAAACTTTATTTTGTACCAGAATCACCTGAAGCTCTTTTTAAAAAGTGGATTACAGGGCCAGCAAGACAACTTGGTGGACTAAGTGCCTGCTTGGGCAAGTGTAGGGACTGGGGTTGATCAGTGGCCTCATATGCTGCTCCTACCCAACCTCTGGGCTTGCTGATCTGGCCACAGAGACCAGTGTGGTGGTGCACGCCTATAATCCCAGCACTGGGGAGGCTGAAAACTGGAGGATCACTACAAGTCCGAGCTGCATAGTGAGACCCTATACCAAATATTGAATTACAGATTTGTACTCAAATCTCTGAACTGAGAAGATAATTTTTTAACAAGGACCTCAGATGATTTTAGCATCTGAGGAATATTTTACAAGAAAGAAGTGCTTTGATTTATAATTCTGAATGTGTAGCACATCTTCACCAGCAAGGATGACGGTTATAAGTAAATGTAATGGGGGGTGCCATGTAATTTTTTTGTTTTGCTTTGGGTTTTCTTATTGGCTATTATGATTTTTAATGTGAAGATACCTGGAAAGAAACTAATTATTTAAATAAACTTGGGTAAGAAAAAAAATCACTTTTATTGTAGACAGCTAAGTTAGATAGAAATTAATATGTTATCATAGAAGGACAGGGCACTTAAGGAAGCCAGTGAACAGTAGAGACATTAGAATTGTGGCTGAAGGCACATCTGAAGAAAGCCAGGCTTCAAGATGAAGATGCAGTGGCCGGGCCTCCACTCCACTCTAAAGGATGAGCAGTAACTTGAAATTATGCTGTAATGAGTACCACTTCGTCCAGGAAGTGTGGAGCGCCATGAGTTGCCCAGGTGGGAGACCAGAGCTTCTGGACCATCCTGTCCAAAGATGCTTTGTGCCTTCCGTGTGCCCCCAGTGTGTGACATGCTTCCCTTTTGGACCAATATTAGCTAAGCAGCTAACCTTCTAATCCTGTACACCGATTATAGTCTGGCCCACAGTGTACCCACATTGTGACTTGGCTGTATAAATTACCCCCCTGCAAAGGGCTTCAGTGGGAACCCACTGAGGACCCCTCCTGTCTTGCAGGAGTTGCCTCTCATCTCCACTGCCTCTCATCTCCACTGTCATTCTTTGCTTTCACAGGACAGGAATACAGCATATCTGATGTCTAGCAGGTTGGGAGGTATATTTCTCCTATGTCACTCTGAGACCCTTTAAGACATGTTCAATGTTTTGGTCTATGTTTTCACAATAGACAATTGCACTGCAATTATATTTCAAAAACACATTTAACATTCTGATGCTCTTATTTTATTCTAATGTTTTATTTTGTGTTAATATGTGGCATTCTGATATTTTCATGTTCAAGATTCATATTGTATGGGCATATAATAAGCTAAAAGTCAGTGGCAGTATACCATTTAATTTAAAATGCTTTGGCTTTCTTTAAACTTTTCAAACTGTGTCAAGTAGGATGCACAAGAATTACAGGGAGGGTCTGCATCTGATTCCTTGCCTCCTGATGCACACTACCTTTGAATTCCCTTGGTCAAAAGAAAGACAGTGTATATGCTGGCAAACATGGAAGCCAGCCTTCCAAGACACACATCTGCCAGAAAACTGACTTGGGAAACTGTAGCTAGCTGTCCAGATTAGAGTCAGCCAGCTCCCTGGTGATTTGTAAAACCAGATCAGTTAGCTATACTTGTTCCTGATTCCATAGGGAAAAGCAGAAAAGTCTATCACATTTAGCCGAATTAATCCTTTGGGTGTTGTACACGTACCACAGCTGTAAAAGAAAAAAGGAGCACAAGCCACCCCAGCTTGGGGTCCCTAGCTCTCATCCTACTGCAGCCTGAGACCCTCTTCAGTGGGACCTAATCTAAGGCTGCCTCACCAAGCAGGGGCAGCTAGGCTGTTTCCTTCCCTCCTTGATGTTAATGTTCCCAGGTCTGAATGAATCTGATAAATTGTATCTTGAAAGGGACCAGCCACTGAATTATGGGCCAACAGTATCGCTTTATTGCCTTAACCCCAAATTTGAACTAATATGGAATTTCAGCAAGTGTGTGTATGTGTGTGTGTGTGTGTGTGTGTGTGTGTACACATGCGTACGTGTTCTGTGTATTGAAGCCTTTCACATGCTAGAGAAATGTTCTAACTGTCAGCTATAGCCCAACCCTCAAAATGTTTGTCTTTTGTGTTTTCTGTGGTAGGGGAGATATGATTTTGGGGAAAAAATTGTATATTCAACATCATTTCATATTTACAGAACCCATCATTTAAAATATGAACTATAGAAAATAAAGCACAATAAATTCCTCTTGTCTGAAACAGGATGAGAAATGTACTTTTGGGACCAGTGAGATAGCTCAGCAGTTTAAAAAACATGCTTAGGCAGGCTTACACCACATCTGGGCTGAGTTGGCCACAAAAAAAGAAGAGAAGAAGAAGAAGAAGAGAAGAGAAGAGAGAGAAGAGGAGAGGAGAGGAGAGGAGAGGAGAGGAGAGGAGAGGAGAGAAGAGAAGAGAAGAGAAGAGAAGAGAAGAGAAGAGAAGAGAAGAGAAGAGAAGAGAAGAGAAGAGAAGAGAAGAGAAGAGAGAAGAAAAAAAGGAAGGAAAAAGAAAAAGAATCGTACTTTTTCTTCCTCATTTGGGAGATTTTCGGGCAGGAAGGTGGGTGCTTCCCTGAGGACAAAGCATGTTCCTGGAGCTGGGAAGAGGAAAGGTTTACTGCTTTCCAAAGAGCGTGGAGGAGCTCTGACTACCCTTGTTAGCTTCTTGAACTAGGTAGCCTAACTACTAACATTCTCTTGTCTTTTCTTCTTCCTCCACCACCTAATTTTGTTTAATGTGATAATGGGGATTAAACTCAGTGCCTCGCGTGTGCTAAATGCATGCTTTACCACTGAGCTACATTCCCAGCTCTTTCCTAAAATTCTAATTTCTGTTCCTGAAAATTAAAAATTCCTCCACTGCACCAGTAAGCCCACACCAGTCTAATTGTAAATGACAACCCCCTCCACGTCCTGGGCCATTCTGTTCTCCCCTTAAGCTTAGAAACCCTAAAAATTTGGGATGTAATGTTTATATGAGTCTGTTTTAATAAGAATGTTGTCTGTTACCAATCTTCCTTCACTACTGAAGTGTTACTCAGAGGAACTTCAGCCAAGGTGTTCTACTTTTTTAATAAAGTAATTTGATACACTGTGTCAGACTGTCCTGGGGAAAAAAAAATTAGACCCTTTCAAAAGAGAGCAATCTACTAGCTTCTTCCCGGCAGACTGGCTGAACTCAGTGTCATTTGAACCTGAGCACTCATAAGTGAGTGATTTCTTGATTGATTTTTACAGTTCTAACAATGATCCTCGGTGTTCCTATTTATTCCCTGAAATGTTGCTAACCTCTGTTCAAGCCCCTGGGAAGGCTATTAGGGAAGGTAAGCTAGAAAATAGAATTCTGTTAGCCTGAGCGAGTTAATACAGTGCTAGAGAGGAGAGATTGAATTGCCCCTTAGGTTTTTTAAAAATTTTTAAACTTTCTTTGTATGTTAGCTATCTGCTAATAGATATGGCAAAACATCAATAGGCTAAAGAACTTGAATACTGGAGAAGCTTTGTTATCTTCTTAAGTAAGATTTATCTTAGGATATGTACTGTATTAAAAATGAAAAGGTTTAGGAAAATGTAGAAAATGATAGATAGATATAACGGCATGTGCACTGACATTTTTTAGCCTGGCATACATATTTTTTTATGTTGGATAACAAAATAAATGAACAGTCATCATTGGATTATTTTGAAACAAATGGAAACTATATTCTTTCTTCTTGAATATTCTTAACAGAGTGTGAATCAATCTTTAGCATTTCCAAATGCATAGGTAAATACAATTTAAACTTCTTTGTAGTCACTAAGGTATTTTGAATATTTTTTTAATATGAAATGCTTTCCAAATTTGCATATCATCTTTGTGCAAGGGCATGATAATCCTCTCTGCATCACTCCAAGTTTATTATGTGTGCCGCTAGAGCAAGCGCATGAAGATTTTGAATGGAGCTGTTTCCATTAAAATCTAAAACCACACAACTGGAATAATAGGAGCAGAATGCTTAAAAATATCTGCAGCAGAAAGTTAACCAAACACACGGTTAAAAGCTCTTTTTTTTTTTTTAATTTTTATTTATTTGAGAGAGAGAGAGAGAGAGAGAGAGAGAGAGAGAGAGAGAGAGACAGTAGTGTGTGTGTGTGGCCAGCTCAGCCCACCAGGGGGCGGGGCTGGCTGGCATGTGGTGCTGGGGGATTGAACCGCGGTCCCTGATGCTTTGCCAAGCTTGTTCTAAGTAGGTGCCTTAGACCACTGAGCCATCTCTCCAGCCCCGGTTAAAAGCTCTTGATGACAGATACACACCTCTTTTTCCCAGTCAGGCAAGGTAATCACCTCTACTTCATAATCTTTCCTACTGTGGAGAGCCCGACTATCTGGTCGTTTCCCCCCTGTCTGGCATATTAAAGAATAAGAAAGCAAACTAAGCTTACGAATGAAAGCTCCTCTAGCTGCTTCCTGGAGTCCAGACCAGCTGTCCTGATAGTCTATAACTGTCTTGATGCAATTTACAAATACTCCTTCGTGGGAAAAGACGAATTGAAGTTAGTGTTGAGCAGCCTGAGACAAATGGCAGTAGCACTGTGCGCCATCATAGCGGTAATACCTTCATCTTCTCTTTTGCTTTCTTTTTTGAGACTTGGGAAGAAACCAGTGTGTGTGTTGGTAAAATGCTTTGCAGATTTTAATGCACCATAAATACTCTGCACAAGCCCCCCACGATGTTCTAGGCTGAGAGAGGGCTCTCGTCCTTAGCGGTGCTTTAGTCCACAGGTATTTCTCTGCAGCCCATTGACTCCCGGTCCTTGTAAATCAGCATAGTCTTGCTCTGAAGTATGTCTAAGGGCAGCATCAGAGAGCCGGGAGGACATGAAAGTTTTGCCAAGAGTGCATTGGAAAAGTTTTCGGAAAGATTGTTAATAAGAAAAAAAAGTGGTGGGGGCTAGCAAGATAGCTCAGTGGTCTAAAGCAGCTGCTCCGGCAAGCTTAGGCAGGCGAAGGGGACCTCGGTTAGGTTCCTGGTACCACATGCTGTGCCAGCCCTGCTGTGAAGGAGGGCTGAGCTGGCCAAAAAAAAAAAAAAAAAAAAAAGGTAATTATATAAAAGGTGGTATTGAAACTACATAGCAATAAGAAAATTGATAAGACTCACAGGTTCTTAAACTATTTCTTAACCAATCTGGTAAAACCAAAGAACCACAGAACTCTTTTTCTATTCTTTTCTAAGTATATTTTGAGTGCTCTAGGGGCCTACTTTTTCTCCATGAGTCTCCCTCTCTGACTACATTTTCTTTTCTAAGATCTGGTGCCTATAACGCCCTTTGCTTTTTTTTTTTTTTTTTTTTTCTTCGTTTGTTTTGTTTCTTTGTGGGGTGTTCCCCCTCCCCCCCAACCAGGGATTGAACTCAGGCCCTTGCGCTTGCCAGGGAAGCGCTTATTCCACTGAGCCATCTTCCCAGCCCCTTGTGGGTTTTTTTTCCTTTTCATTTATTAGTGCTTGTCTACAATACAAAGCGATGATATTTGCTTTGAAAAATTGGCACTGCATATAACATATCTAAACCATGTTTTATCTCTTCATTCCTTCCTTACCCTGTCCCTCCCCATCCCTTTTCCTGTCTCCAAAAGTCTATTTTTTGGTGTTTTTTTTTTTTTTTTTTTCTTTCAGGGACAAAGCCTCACTATGTAGTTCAGGCTGGCCTTGAGTTCACAGCAATCCTCCTGCCTCAGCCTCCCTCATGCTGATATTATACCTGTGTGCTACCATACCCAACTAAAAGCCTATCTTCTTCTTTCATACCATTTCTTCTTTATTTTATTGATTTACTTATTTTAGGTTTCTTTTTTTTTTTTTAATTTTTTTTTTTTTTTTTATTTGAGAGAGAGAGAGAGAGAGAGAGAGAGAGAGAGAGAGAGAGAGAGAGAGTGTGGTGTGTGTGCGGCCAGCTCAGCCCACCAGGGGGCGGGGCCGGCTGGCATGTGGTGCTGGGGGACTGAACCTCGGTCCTTGATGCTTTGCCAAGCTTGTTCCAAGTAGGTGCTTTAGACCACTGAGCCATCTCTCCAGCCCCTTTTAGGTTTCTAATATAAGAGAAACTAAACAAATTTACCTTTATGCGTCTAACGTTACACTTAACATTATGGACTTCAGTTCCATCCATTTTCCTGCAGATGACATGATTTCATTCTTCTTTTGGCTGAAAAGTATTCTATCATGTGTAATAACACATTGTATTCATTCATTCTCCCATTGACAGTCATCTAGGCTATTTCCAGAACTTAGCTATTGTGAATTTTCCTGCTATGAACATGTATATACATGGATCACTGGAATATGATGTCTTTAACTCTTTTTAGTTCTGTGAAGAATGTTGTTGATATTTTAATAGGGACTGGATTAAATCTGTAGAATGCTTTTGGTAATGTGGCTATTTTAACAATAATGATTCTCCTGATCCAAGAACAAGAGATATCTTTCCATTTTCTAAAGCACCTTTCTTCAGAGTTCTGTAACCTTCACTATCAAGGTCTTTGAACCCTCGGTTTAGGTTGATTCCAAGCTACTTACTTTCTTGAAACTATTATGAGTGGCTTTGCCATTCTGATTTCATTTTTGTTGAGTTCGTTACTGGTGTGTAGGCATGCTGTGGACTTTTCTGTGTGTTGAGTTTGTATTCTGAAGCCCTCTTCCTTTGATGTCATGTCTAGGCTTCATATGCCTCAGCAAAATCCTCCTATCTTACAGTCTTACTCTAAGTCTTTTCACTAATCCAACAACCCTGGCAGGCTTTTATTTTCATTATTAGAAATTCTTAGAAATGAGACTCACTTACTAGCAACATATGTCCTAGTGGGAGAACAGCAGGTTGTAAAGCACCCCTCTCTGTCAAACATACACATTCTTTCTTCCCTCCTCCACTTTCTCCTCCTCCCTCTCTTTGATCTTTCTCTCCCTCTGTCTGTCTCCCAGCCCCTGGACCTAGAAGATATTTCTCCATGAGAATGGTCAGAATCTGGGACCCATGGGTTCCACTCCTGGGTTCCTGCTGAAAATTGGTGAGCAACATGAAAGTTATGATGATTGGCTTACATGTGGGAAATATACAGAGGCAGAAACAAAACCTTTCAACCTAAAAAATATGACCTGGGGTTTATTCATTAACCAATAAATTTACACTGAAGTGTATCCAGAATATTTTATCTATAGTACTATTAGTGTTGTGGTTTGTGTCTAGTCATCACCCCCCCACAAAGCCTCATGCAATCATGGGGTAGAATTCTAGAGTTTGTGATTAACTCATAATCCACTGAGATTAGGGGTATGAGTGCTGCTAGGATTATGGGTGTGAATGCTGCTGGGATTATGGGTGTAAATGCTGTTGGGATTATTGGTATGAGTGCTATACCTGGCCTGGAGCAGATAGCCTGCATGCAACGTAAAGGAGACAGACTTGCTCTCTGTAGCCACTGTTGCTGCTGCTCTTGCCCTTCTGCTCTTGTTGTTTTCTGTTGCCATGAATGGTTGCCCTCTGCTGTGTGCCAGGCTGCCTTGGAACTAACTGAATATGGACCAAAACATGCACAAACTATGAGCTAAATAAACCTTTCCTTCCTTCATTTTGGGTGTCGGGTATTTTGTCTCAGCAATGAGAGAAGAGTAACTCAGACAGTTACCTTTTAAAAATGGAATTGATTTCAAAGCTAGAAATTCAGATACCGGGGAAACATGCAAAGGCCCTGTTTCTATAGTAACAAGAGACAAGAACAGGAGGCGTAACTCAGTAGTGCGGCTGTGCTCAACAATCCCTAGCACAAAAAGGTGGGAGGTGTGCAAATGCCCACTCCCTTGCATAAGCCTGGATATGTGAATCGATCCATTGATTACAGATTTATGCAATTGTGTAAACTTTCTTATGGAGAAAAAACACCTTGACCCAAGGCACACACAAATTCCGGACTAGAAGGCTGACAAAATGGTAGAGGACATCTCTTCCTTAAAGACAGCAGAGACAGATTTAAAGTGTCCTAGTCCATGTATTGATAGTTACCTGTTTTATTTATTTACTGTTTTGGCAGTAGTGAGGGGAAGTACGTCACCGCTAAGCATGCTCTTAGCAGCGACTCACCTGTCATGTTTGCTGATGTGGCGCCCACTACGCAGTGCACATAGAGTTGGTCAGTGTGCCACGGGGTTTTTGCAAAAAGAAAACAAATTCTACTGAAGGCTGACTATCCTGAAGACAGGAGAGAACAAAGCCCAGGTCTGCCTCCAGGGACACTTGGCATCAAGGGACTCTAAAGGAAAAGATGAGAATCTGCTTGTTGATTGGATGGAAGAAGGGGGAGTTTTCGGGTTGTTTTGTATGGGCATGGGTTGGTTCTTGGGACTCTTCACAAGTCCTGTGTGGGTCTTTGTGAGAGAGTGATCCTATTTCCAACAGGAGAGTTTTGAACTTGTGACATCAAAAGATCTGTGATTGGACAGGCTGGATTTTTCTGTGAACCAACCCTGCAAGGATTCTGGAGGCTTCCCCTAGGAAACAATTTAAGCAAGTTGTTACTTAACAAATGTGGGTCTGGGTGTGTCTGGGAATTAGCTAATTTCATTACTATCCTGGGAAGGGAATGGATGGCTGGAAATGAAACGAAACATAATTGATGGGGCTGGAGAGATGGCTCAGTGGTCTAAAGCACCTACTTAGAACAAGCTTAGCAAAGCACAGGGACCGCGGTTCAATCCCCCAGCACCACATGCCAGCCATCCCTGCCCCCTGGTAGGCTGAGCTGGCCACACACACACACACACACACACACACACACACAAATAAATAAATAAATTTAAAAAAATAAAGTTAAAAAAAAAGTTAAAAAGAAACATAATTGATGTATCTTTCCTCCTTCCTTTCAGTTCTTCAAATCATGAATAAGTT